CCAATTAAATCTTTTAAAAAATCCTTAATAATTGAAACACGTCATACTCTTTATTGTTTATAATCACAATAATCATCATATATCCGAGTTCCGAGGCATAAAGTTGTCCTTGTGAAAGAACACTTAAAGTCCGCGAGAGAGCTGCTCATCGCACAGGTCCGCTTTTCCCTTTTTAGAGTTCTTCGTTAGCCTGAAACGGAACACATTTTCAAAATACGTGTCATAATTTTCATCATGATTGCACTTCTAATTCTTACCACGTAACAACCGGTTCAAAATTCTTATAGCGACGATTTTTGAAATGGTTCCGGTAAGTATTGTCTCGAATGAAAAAGACAATACTCGCTTCGCGAATGATCGTTGATTGAAAGCATGTTTTTACCCATTCTTTTTTGCAGAAGATATTTTCTCAAATGGGGAAAAAGTACCCGCTTTTCTTTTTTTTTAAATACCCATTTTTTACAGATTTGAATAACTTCAAAAAATGAGTACAAGATACTTATTTAATGGGTACTTCCGAGTTAGCGTGTTCGCACAAGCCTTTTGAAGTTTACATGTAAATTACTATAGGAAATCTCAACTTTTTGTTCATTGTCTTCTAGTCTTTTTCCATATTGAGCTGCGAAACAGTTCGATAGCCTTTCTTACAGAAAATTTACTCAGCTACAACTTTGCTGAAGATCGTTTCTATGTAAAACGAGACAGGAAAAAAAGTTATTAATTATTTAAGAGATTGCTAAACTTATGACATGATCAAGTAGCTGCTCTGTAGGCAACACTGTATTTTGCAGTGTGACATAGTAGCCATGATTTTTGTGTCCTATTCAACGCCCCAGAAACACCAATGTTGCTTCTTCTTTCTGCTCTTCTGAGCAGTTGATTGAGCATGATCATAAGACATCAGCGCATTGAACCATTGATAACTTTCGATCCTTGCATTTAATCAAAAATGGTCTTCAGCAAAGTTGTAGCTGGGAAAATTTCCTACAAGTACAATTGAAAGTTTTTGAAGCAGACCGATATGGTGAATTATTAGATCGACATGAACAAAACTCTTGATTTTACCATAGTAATTCCCATACAAACTTCAAATAAATTGTGCCATCTCAGTTTCTCACCGAATAGTTTCAAATTTTGAGAGATTAGTCAGGATCCGATTTGGAATCGTTTAAGTATTGTGGAGCGAAAATTTCAAATTTTGCATCACTCTAATGTACAACTCTCCCGTTTTTTGTTAGGCACATTCGCGTCATTTGTCGCACAAAGGTAAATACTCCGAATAAGATAACAAATATTTAAACCTCAGAAAAAAAGGTTAGTGTATTTCTTCATTTTTCTATGCATTGCTTCCATTTTCGTTCATGTGCAGCACGACTGTTCCTGTTGCTTGGATTCTGGTAAAGTTGCCGATCTTCTTGATATGTGTCTTCGATGGAATTGTAGCTAGAACTTTGTTGGAATTCTTTGATATTATCACTAGAATTCCTTCTATATTCACCACGAAATTCATATAATATGAATATGAAATCCCTTAATCCATTGATATTATCACTAGAATTCTTTCTATATTTACCACGAAATTCATATAATACTAATATGAAATCCAGATCAAAACATTCTTGATAATACTACGATGTTATGATTTCCTTTTTTTTTCAAATTTCAAATCCAAGCTGTGACCATAACCAAACTTTTAAGCTTCCAATAAAAATAATGGATTTTAGAAAAATATGGACAATAGACATTGTTATCAAATAGAACATACTGAACACTTTACATAATAGAATGAACGACAGCCAACCCAGTAGATCAGTAGGGGAATTCAAACATAAATTGTTGAAATTCCGTAGCTGATTTTGAAAACAATGACTCAAACGTCAATGACCTACGCAAACTAACACCACCATTAGGTTGTGGAAACTTTTACCTGATGATTGTATTAGTTTACATGGGCTATCTAGTAATTTCGACAAATTATCGTTTGAATCTTTGTTTACAGAATCAGCTACGCTTGTTTGGTAATTATGTGACAACGGCTGGATATCACATAATAAAGATTAAAAAAGCTTATTAATTTATCCTTGAATTTCCATTTTATGTGAAAATTTTCACCGCCTGGAGCGTCACTCCGTGATACTGTACACCTAATAGACTGGTGAAACTACTAATCGCTCGTTTACAAATATTAAAGTTGAATTTATGAAACGGAACAGGTCTATTTTAGATAGAATTCGTTTCAAATTCAGTCATAATTTGTCATGGTTTTTCTTTTGAAATTTCTCATATAAATCTTTTAGAATCCGTCAAAAATGCTAACAAAATGTTGCCTAACATAAGAGGCATTTTGAAATAACTTTTACATTCAATTTCCTCACATTAGTGGATGCGAGAAGCCGAGTCAAGCAAAAAATAAAATAAAACACGAGAATATCTTTTAATTTTGTCGAAATTCTTAACGAAATCCCGTATGAAGAGCTTTTTGAGTGTGTTGATTTATTTCATTTTAATTCCGTTATAATTGTATATCTTTTGACAGATATACGTATTTCGTCTACTACTTGCAGACTTCATCAGTGCCAGTGGTGTTGAGTACTGTCCAAAGATAAGCAATTATAACGGAATTGAAAGGAAATCAACACACTCACTAGAATAATGTAAAAAAGGGAGCCTTTGAAACTTGTGATATTGTGTCACCAGCACAGTCTGACTTCTGACTTTCGAATCTACTTCCGATCTTACTTCCAATTTTAACAGAAAGCATAGTTGTTGTTATTGTTATTTTGGTACTTTCGACAGCTCTTTTACAATGCTACCAGTCGGAAGTGACTTCATCAACAACATACAGATTACTTTTATCTAAATGCATAACATTTTTCGCTCGACTCGGTGTATCGCGTTCACTCTTCTAGTGCCCTAATATTACCTCAAGGGAAATATCACCAGAGTGTTATAGATAGTTGTGTAGAATCTTCATTGAGTTTCTTAGAAATTCATCGTGCAATCATAATGATTTCTGATTGAATTTGCTTTGGACTAATCGGAATTCCTAAAGAAATTATACGATCTTCTGGAATTCATAGAGATCTTCTGTAGCACTTCGATGGAATGTCTGCTCGATGTTATTCAAATGGGATTTGGGAACCTGTGTACCCCGTCACTCACATAACGTTAAAACCCATCAAATAGCCCACAAATATTGTGCACATTATCAAGATTATGATCAAAATCAAGAGAAATAACAACAACAAAATCCTTTTAACTCCATAATTCAATGAGCAATGAGCAAACTGAATAAAGTTTATGAATTATTAACACATTAAGGGACAACTGCATACCACCCTTGCAACCGATACAGAGCGCAGTAAAAATAAATGTTTAAACGCACATATGCTATGCTATCCTAGTGATTCTCCTTTTATATTCCTGGCAGACCCTTCCCCTATCATCCCGTATCGTCTGTCCTTTTCCCCTTGCTCCACCACTCATAAACGTATGAGTGAATAGCTGTGGTGCAATTCCACCATTCGCCCTGCTAGTGAAGGAAAAAAAAATGCACAGAAACATAACCAACCACCTAAACAGCCACACACTGTGGAATCACTTTCAAGACCGGTAATACGATGGGAAAGCATAAAATCGACCGAAAAGGAACCGACATAATACCGCCAGTGCGAGTGTGTGTTTGGCAATGGTGTCCTGCCAACCGACCCCGAAATATGATGCCATAATTTTGAATTTTCATTCCCATTTTTATCGGTACTGTTGAAAAGGTTCAAGTATAATCGAACTCGAAACAATTCGAACTGCAAACAAAATTCGATTCCCATCGATTCCCGGTGAAACATTCGAAAAGGATAATTTTACTGCTTGATTACATCGTTTTGCAATCCGAAACTCTTGGTATTCAATTTGCAAATCCAAATGATTTTCAAATACTCTAAAATTCATGCTTCCCCTTCATAACCTAGGAGAGGACCCGGCTGCGAGGAACAAGAGAATAATTAAATTAAATTTCAAAGTACGCTCCATACGAATGGAATTGGCTTTAGGAGCAGCGGCACACGTTGGTGTGCATAGTACCCGGTCCGTCGTCCGAAGATCATACCCCCACAGCACCGGCCGTAGAGAAGCGGGGAGAGAATTGCGAAAAAATAACCCGAAAGCGAAAATAATAATAAAATAAACTCTGGAATCGAAATGGAATGAAACGGGGCACACCAGTTCCAGCTGGGAGTGGCACAGGATATTCCGCTACCCGGTGAGGTTCAGCTGAGGAGCGACCGTGAGAGACAGGAAGCCAACTATTAATATCATAAAGGAAAAATGAACCGAACATTCAATTGAAATTTAAATGAAGATCACGATAGTACCAAGACCGTCGCACTTGGTTGCTCGTTCTTATTGTTGTTGTTGTTATTGGACTAATGGGAAGGTCAGCCAACTGATTCTGTTGGAAATAGGGTGAACTTTTCCAACAAAGATGGACCATTGTAGACTGAGACCGCTATCGCCAATCGTACCCTAATCTCCCGCCTCGCGAAAGCCAATTCGTGTTTTTCCTCCGAATGTTCTCTTTGAAAATTATTATGAAATTTAATTAAAACAGTCCCGCTCTCGTCTTCACAATTAGGCGTTTTCCTGAGTCTGAGTCCGGAGAAGGTGGGATCTACGTGGAATGCAAACGAACGAATACTCCGCAACACGGGACAACGCCGGATCCGGAGAGTTTATCAAAAGACTGCCATCCTAAAAGCAGCATCCCCTGCCTGTGCGAACATAGTACATTTATTATAAAATTTGGTAGTGGAAGAAGAACTGCAGCAACGCAAACGAGAAATGTGGTGCTTAATGAATGACGATGAGTTGAACGTAATAATAGGATTACACATCTAGAGAACACTCTTTTCTCTGATCGACTGCGAAGAATAAACATCCGGGAGTAATTTCTTCGGGTCGGGAGCATCCTCTCTGGTTGTATTTGGTAACAGTTGGTAACATACCTGTACGAGTACTTGTAGACGCCATGCTCGAGCGACAGGGAAGTGAAGCACAGTCCATCTGTTTCGCACACGTAGTTCTGATCCTTGCAAATGTCACAGTGACATTTTAATAATTCTGCGAAAGAAAACGGAACAAAAATAACGATAGAGAGAAGAAGAAAAAAACAGGAGTTAAAATATGGCCAAAGAGATTCTGAGCAAGGAAAACAGTCAGTGTGATGTACTACACTACGACCAGCATGCTGCTTGCTTCTTGAGCTCTTGGAGATTTATGGGTTTTAATTTAGCAAGTGGCGTGGCCTTTTCGCGAGTGGTTCCAGGAGAGGTGTAGGTCGGAAGATTTGTTTAAAAAATAAATCTTTAAAGGTGCAGGAGCGAAATTCTCTAGGAACATCTTGCGGGCAGACGGTCGAAGATGTTTGTCTTGTACATTGATCAACAACGCTATCGTGGGATGTTGTTTCCCATTACCGGTAGCTTGGAAAGTTCATTAAATTGTCAGGATGTGTCCAAAAATGCAATCGGAGCTGATTCAGATAAGATTTACAGAAATGCATTAAAAAAAGGCTCCGAGCAAAGTAGAAAGTTTTGGACGTATAAGGTAAATGGCGGTTTTTCCCGGTTGTATGACACACACAGTTGGTAAACAGTTCGAAAAAGTAGTGTAAATTTCTGTTAATAAGATGCACATAAATGGAGCATCATAGGGGAAATGGATGTAATGTCGGCCTAAATGCCCCTAATGTGGGCCAAAACATAAATTTAGCAATCGACTAAATTTTCAATGCGACCAAAAATAACTGTAGGGAGCGACCCCGGCGTAGTGGTTAACATCCATACCTCTCACGAGTTCAAATCTCATCCCCGGACAAGTCACGAATGACCCAAGAGTGTTAAAGTGACTATAATAATTTAAAAAAAAAATCTATTAGTACCGTCCCAATGACGCGTTTATCTAGATAAAATTGATAAATAGCAGATTTTTAGCGATGGGCCTAAGATTCATAGGCCAACATTAGAGCCATTTCCCTTATATTATACAAATTTACATTAAAGATAGCGTAAATTTATGAGCCATTTCACTAAATATTGTATGCAGGCGTCGATTTCATTTCTTGCAATTTGCTAGTTTTGCTAGTTTACGTGAAAGACATGCATAGAGGTTTACATTACCAGTAAAATTCAGAACTTTTTTCTGTGTATGGTAAAACAACCCAAGTAAAATTCCAAGTTTTATTAAGAATTTAAAGCATTATCCAAGCCTGCAACGTGGTGTACAAGAGCATGATAAAACGAAAATTGATACTTGAGACATGTATTATTATTTCTGTCGACTGTTGACCCTTAGGAATACTGTATGTAATTGTGAGCTAATTCTAAGCAAATTCATGATAAAATTCCGTAATTAACCTATGAAGAGTTAATATAGAAATCTAGAAATTATCTAGGTGATTCATGCATCGAAAATGCTTCAAGACATCAGGCACAGAAATTCAAGATTAAGGATTTGATAATACTTGTTAAATTCTGATACTTCAAGCAGTTGTTAAGATGTCATGCTTACCTTAAAAATAAAATCCCGGTCTATGTAAACGCTTCAAAAGGGAAAATCTGCCTCGCACGGCACGAGTCAGCACTTTGAAAAAGTAATGAAACTTCGAAGCGACTAGGAACTTTTTGTTTGATTCTCTTTCCCGGACTAAGAATAATTAAGTCGTGAAGTGTTACACATCTGAAAAGTTTGCATACACAGGAAAAAGGTGAAACAATCTAAGTGTTTGTAAAATTCCTGGCTTAAAAGCAACACTGGCAACATGTTCATTTCCCGGTCGAATTTTTCATGACTCCTCTGAGCATTTAGTATCTTTGTGCTTACCACGATGAAATTTGGGTAGTGAAAGTGGTACCCGAGCAAAGTCCAGCATCAAAATGACAGCAAATGGAAATCAAGTTTTGATGTCAACATCAAACTGAAATCATAATTTGATTTCGGTTTACTAAGGTTGCAAATACTCATTTAAGCTAAAACAATTTTTTTTTTTAATTATGAAATAATTGGAAGCTATGATCATATTTTGAATTGGTAAGATACAAGAAGAGGTTGAAAAGAATGTGTTTGACATATTAAACCTGTTTATTTCACTTCATGAGAAGTCACAATCAGCGATTTTTCACACACACACACACACACACACACACACACACACACACACACACACACACACACACACACACACACACTCACTCACTCACTCACTCACTCACTCACTCACTCACTCACTCACTCACTCACTCACTCACTCACTCACTCACTCACTCACTCACTCACTCACTCACTCACTCACTCACTCACTCACTCACTCACTCACTCACTCACTCACTCACTCACTCACTCACTCACTCACTCACTCACTCACTCACTCACTCACTCACTCACTCACTCACTCACTCACTCACTCACTCACTCACTCACTCACTCACTCACTCACTCACTCACTCACTCACTCACTCACTCACTCACTCACTCACTCACTCACTCACTCACTCACTCACTCACTCACTCACTCACTCACTCACTCACTCACTCACTCACTCACTCACTCACTCACTCACTCACTCACTCACTCACTCACTCACTCACTCACTCACTCACTCACTCACTCACTCACTCACTCACTCACTCACTCACTCACTCACTCACTCACTCACTCACTCACTCACTCACTCACTCACTCACTCACTCACTCACTCACTCACTCACTCACTCACTCACTCACTCACTCACTCACTCACTCACTCACTCACTCACTCACTCACTCACTCACTCACTCACTCACTCACTCACTCACTCACTCACTCACTCACTCACTCACTCACTCACTCACTCACTCACTCACTCACTCACTCACTCACTCACTCACTCACTCACTCACTCACTCACTCACTCACTCACTCACTCACTCACTCACTCACTCACTCACTCACTCACTCACTCACTCAGCGATCAGTAAATCGCTGATTGTGACTCATAGAAAGCAAAATTTACAGGTTTTATGTTTCAAACGCACACTGTGTAATTTCTTCTTGTAAGTTACAAGTAAAACATGTCATCATACCATCTTTTGATTTTATTATTCCGAAAAACATTATTTTAGCTGAAATGTGTATTTGCAACCTTGCAATCTACGTAATTGACAAATTTGATACATTTACTCTTCAAAAATATGTTGTTGCGAGTTTGTCATTGCCTTAACATAACATCAAATTGAATACTTGTTTTTTTATCAACAGCAAAAATTGATATCAAATTGAGTTTTCAGTTTGCTCTCACTTATAGCAGAAATAGTTTTCAATGTGATGTCACAGGAAGATTTTTTTGCTCTCAATTTTGATATTTTAACCGTTAAAACGACAGCAACCCGTGTAATCATTATCAGCGAAATCACAACACCAAATTTAGATTTCAATTTGATCTCGGGTAAGGTGTCCATTCAAATCCCTTATTTCAATTCCCATTTTTTCCGGTTATTTAATAATAAACCCAACTCAAATATCACCCCTGCCTTAAACAAAAAAGGCGTTCAAAAATAACCGTTTAGAAATGATCATATAAATTGTTGACTACAAATATAAGATGAGATTTACATTAACATGTTGATGATCTAGATCTCCAAAATCTCATGGAATCATGAATTCGTGTAAAATCAAAATGTATTACAGCCGGCGCCGGTGATGTAGTTGTAAGCGTGACTGCTTTCCTATCCCAATGGGTCTGGGTTCAATCCCAGGAAGAGGTCGGTTGGATTTTTTTGAGGCATAAAAATCTCTGGTCACGTCTTCCTTCGGAAGGGAAGTAAAGCCGTTGGTCCAGGCCCATGTGCCCATATCCCATATCCGATTTTGGATACATTATTCATTATCGACATATTCAGGAAGGTAAAAAATCAAAAATCATCATATGCCAACTTAAAATTAAAAAAAAAAATCCATCGGAAGTCTTCTTCAGCTTCCGCATATCTTCAAACAACTTCACAAATCATGAAATAGTTTCAAAATGTCTGCATGAAAAAATACCTTCACTGAACTTTGAATGTCTTCAAAATGAAGATATGTCTTCAAATCTGGTGTATCTAGTTTGAAGAAATCTCTTCTTTTTTTTTAATCATTCGTAGAAGGTGAAAAAAATCAAACATACATTTCAGAACATCCCCGGGGAAGTGGTCAATTACAAATTAAGATCAAAGTATATCAAACATTTTTGCAGAAAATTCAGATGGCTCGACTTTAGTTCAGGAGCACCACTTAGCCCTTGAAAAACATTGTGATGCATATGAAATAGAGAATCTTAACTGCTAATTTCAAATTCGAACCACCTCAGGAAAATGTTGTTCCAAGTACAGTGGGGGAAATTCGTTTAAACGCAATGTCATTTTTGCGTTTATTTTCAACACAAAAGATCGAGACAAAAAATCAAATATAGTTTGTCATAGCCCATCAGAAGTCTCGTATTTGAGAACACAATTTGATTGGAAGTTCATAATGACTTTTGAAAAAATCCCAAAAAAGGTGATTTTGGGGGGGAAATTCGTTTAAACGCACTTTTAGTTTTATTAATCAAATCGAGTTCACAGTTCAAAAATCAACAATAAACAATAGTTAATACTTCGTTTGCTTTCCGTTTTTCTGAATAGTTTCGAAAATTCTGTTCGGCATTGATTTCACCAGCTTCTGCAGAGTTGTATCAGGTATCAAGCTCCAGGCTTCTCTTACGACTGACTCAAGTTCACGAACTGTTTTAAACTGCCTTCCGCCTTTGTAAACCTGTCGTGCCAGGATGCCCCACAAGTTCTCGATAGGATTTAGATCCGGACTACGAGCTGGCCAATCCAAAAGACTGATGTCTCGTTCAGAAAACCATTTCAAAGATTGCTTGCTGACATGAATTGCTGCATTATCCTGTTGAAATACGAAATTTTCCGGCATAACGTCTTCAGTAAACGGGATCAAAACATCTTCCAGAAGCTCCAAGTACTTTCCCGAATTCATCCTGGTTGAAATGGTGGCAATAGGGGTCTTTCCATGGATCGAAAAAGCGGCCCAACACATTAGAGTACCACCTCCAAAGTTCCTGCTCAACTTAACCTGCGGAGATTTCCTCAAATCGTGCCAATAATATGCGGTGCAGTCTGGGCCGTCTAAATTGAATTTCTTCTCGTCAGAAAAAATAACATTGTCCCATTCCGTAGTCCAAGACATGTATTTTTTAGCGAAATTCAATCTGGCGCTAATGTGGGCCGGTTGAAGATTGGGTTTTTTTGCTTTTTTGGTGTACTTTAAGTGGCCACTTCCATGTAGAATCTGCCGTACACGCCTCTTAGAAATGGAAAGCCCCATTTCTTGCTTGATTTGCGCAGCAGAGAAGTTTCCAGAGTCTCCCATTTGTATGATTTGGTTTCGGACACGGTTGGTGATCTTCGAATTTCCCTTTGTTTTCTTTTTTACGCCATACGTCTTGCCTTTTTTCAGCAGGTTCCTGATTGCTGCTTCCGATCTGTGGATCACACGTGCAATTTTGCGATTGCTCTCACCGCGACTTTTGAGTTCTCGAACCAGTATTTGCTCCGACTGGCTTAAATACTTTCCTTTACCCATTTTGCCGAAAACAAGCAACAACTACCGCGCAACGCAAATTTAAACTCGTGTTAATGGCGAACGAGGGCTATACAGTGTAAATATGACAGATGCGCAAGATAACAGGAGCTTAGGTACGCTCAATGCGGCTTTACGTTAGTGTGCGTTTAAACGAATTTCCCCTCTAAAATCACCTTTATTGGATTTTTTCAGAGACCACAATGAACTTCCGTTCAAATTGTGTTCTCAAATACGAGACTTCTGATGGGCTATGACAAACTATATTTGATTTTTTGTCTCGATCTTTTGTGTTGAAAATAAACGCAAAAATGACATTGCGTTTAAACGAATTTCCCCCACTGTATAGTGTTTAAAATGGGGAATGGCTGAAATGTTGGCCCTTAGCTACTAATTTTCAGATCCTTCGCTTTTTTTTTTACACTTCGGTATTATGAAAATAAAACTACTACACAACTACAGAAGTGCTGTCGTGCAAAAAATCTTGTAATGATTCAGTCTGGTGAAATGCTCCACCTGGTTTCACAAATAGACAAGCCAAATATGCCAGATGATGCATAGCCATATCCCCGAGAAACTCATTCAAGCCACTACTTTTCCGCACCAGCCAAGAACACAGAACAAGAATTTCATCAAGTCCCATTAAAGTTCCACGAAATGTCGCAACACACTCGACACGACGAGGTGAGAGAACTGAAACATGATAAAACAACTCTAGTGGAGTGGAGAATCTCCTCAGCTCCAGCAACGTAGGACAAGCAAAACGCGGCGCAAAAAGAAGCGCCACCGCCAAAAATCACAAGGACCGCACCACGAAACAAACACTCACTTGTTTTATTTTTATCCGCCGTCAGCGTCAATGTTTGCGGCGAATTATGCGACAGCGGCGATGACAGTGACGCTGAGGACGCCGACGACGGGCCGGATGAGAATAGTGTTGCTCCCAGTTCCGCCCCGGCGGTGCCACCGTTGCTGTCATCCAGTCCACCACCGTTCTCATTTGAATTTAAATATTTTCCATTAATCTGCTGCTGCTGCTGTTGCTGTTGGCGGTGGTGTTCCTTGAATAACGACCCCGTCGCCGAATCGCTATAATCGTTGAGACTGCTACTACTTCGTTTGCTGTTGGTATGCCGAAGAATCCTTGACGATGTTGCTGCTGGAATGAGACGCGAGAAATCAAATTGAGAGATTAGTGGTTGTTTTTCTTCAACTTTTGAATGGTTAGTGGTTGATGCGACGGCGGCCGCAGGGAAAACGACAACAACAATCGCTCTTCAGCTGCCGTCCCGAAGAAATTAGAGGGGGATATAAATGTTTATGGTAAGTGTTATGACGGGGAGGGGGTGATCCATTCTGGGAGATATGGGGCTCTCTAATTTAGAGAGTGATTTCACGCGTCAAGTCCGTGCCGGAGTGAGTGTGCTAATGTGAACCGGGTGGCAAATGGGGCATGGCGAATGTCAAGTATGAAATTGATTGTGGAAAGAATGCAATAAAAGATTTTAAAAACCACGGTGGGAAATTTTCCGAGCTCTGAGGTAGGCTAGCGTATGAAAGGTAGTGGATTCCATAATTCCTAGTAAAACAACAGCACATGACTTCATGAAAACATGTAAAATGATACCGTTTCACTATGAGCATTTGCCTTTCAATATAAATTGAAGAAGCAATAACAAGAGAAATAGTAAAACAGCTAACATTAGAAGAATTGCAAATATTTTGCGAAATTTTTTAGATTTGGGATTAAGAATTTCAAAGATTGATGAGAGATCAGACCTCGAACGTTTAAGGCAGGCCTATCCAACTTTTTTAAACTTGTTTAAACTACCATTTAAGTATCTTTGTTGTAACAGGTTTCAAGCTGAATTTTGTTTATTTCTTTTTTACTTGATTTGTTTTCCGTCGATCTTGTTTTTTTTTTGTCTTGACGCCAGGGAGGCAGCTTCCACACCTGACCCTACCTTTTTTTTTCTTGATTTGTTTTCCGTCGATCTTGTTTTCCGTGCTGAGCACCAATGCTACCAACGCCAGGAGGCAGCTCCCACACCTGGGACCCTATCTATCGACTCATCAACTCATGAACCGGGGACCAACGGCTTTACTTCCCTTCCGAAGGAAAGCGTGATCAGAGATGTTATGCCTCAGAACATTCCGGCGGCGCCGACTGGGATTGAACCCAGGCCTGCTGGGGTGAGAGGTAATCACGCTTACCACTGCACCATCGGCGCTGCTAATTTTGTTTATTTCTCATACATAATGATGAATAACATTTTGCTAGAATGACATCAATTGGCCGGATTTATGGCCTAAGTGTTCAGATTACGGTATGGTATATTAAATAAGAAGAAAGGGAACACTTCCTATTTTTTTAATTAATTTTGATGCTATGAATTTTAAGAAAAGAACGAGCAGCTTTTAAATCAAGGTAATGTATTCTTATTAAGTTTTTGAAAACCGGTTCTCAATCGTTTCTCAAAGTCTGGAGTATACATGTAAGCCATCATATCTATGCCCTGAAATCCATTCGACTTAATGACCTTTTGGTCTATTAGCTATCCGACTGACCATCAGTGGAATGACACAGCTCGAATTCAAACCCTATACTGCGACCTTTCGACCTCTTATTTTTCCCAATTGGAAATTTTATTGATGACGAAAGACATATTCAACGAAATGCCCTCTCTCCTTTTTCGATATTCGTATTTATCGTATTATCCAAATCTAAATGAAGAACACTCTTTTTGCCATGGGCTGGTTCATCTCTTTCGATAGAAAATTTTAAGATCATTCGTGATGAGGATGAGATTTTAATTTATAACCTTCAGCGAGAAAGGCATGGATACTAACCACTACGCTATACCTGTCCCTGAACTTAGAAAATATATTTAAAACCCTTAGACTTGAAAAAATGAGAATCTGGGCAAACAAATTAGTTCTCGGACTCCTAACATTTGAATTTTTAAGATTCTGGACATGGACGATTTTTCATGGTGTTAGGACAGTTTTTTTTTTAATAAAGATGCACTGAAAAAGTGCATTAAAATAACTGGATCCTCTGAAACGTTTTTTTTTTTTTTTTTTACGTAGGACTACGTCTTTCAGAAACATATTTGGGGTGAAATTTCAAAAAACCAAAAACAACCGCGTTACGAAAAGTGGTAAGGTTTTGACCACTACTCTGTTCATAGCGGATGGATTTTAATTCTAAACAAGCCAATCGATAGGAAATTTTTCTACGAATCTGCTAAAACGAACACTTTATCAATTTTTAATAGGTCACTATTGAAAATTACACAAATGTCCAACTGCTGCAATGGTGATCATAATTATCACCGATTGCCTGCAAAAAGCGCTTTCCCTAACACAGATTTCAAAATCGAATTCCATCCGGCCTCGCCGAACGGTGCTGTGTGTGGTGGTGTCCGGTCGGACGACATCAGCAGCAGCAGTGCTTTCGGTGCATGGCGTTGAACATTGTTCTTCAGTACACACAAGGCTCACCGCTACTGATCGGATTCAGTAGCTCTTCGTGAGTCGCTGTGGGCCATCTATGCCAAGTGCGTCACCCTCGTTCCAAACAACATATAGCTCGCCAGCCTCATCCGTGTTGAACACCCTAATAGCACAGCATTACTCAACCATCACGACAAAACGGTTCTTTTCAGGACCACCATAAATTATTGTTGTTTAAGAGTTAATTCACGTTCGCTCGCCTTGCTGCCAGCCGCATCACCTCAAAAGTTCTTTGATAATGTACCCAGCAACCAAAAGTTTGTGGTCAAATGCGTAACAGCATTGAAGTGGTACATACAAATTCACGCAATGACCGAATACCTTGTCAATTAACCAGAAACACTTTGAATTAAGGTAAGGTTTTCTACAGGACGCTTGGAAAAACAAAAAAATCTCGAATTTATATGATTGATCGCGAATATCTCGCGATTGGAAAATTTTAGCAAGAAATTCCTCCAATCAATTTCCGCTGTTTTTATTATTTATTGAATAAACCAAAAATTCCGTGCATTTTGTGCACGAAAATGCGTAATTTTGTGATCAGAAAACGAGGCGTTTCAGTGATAGGAAAAAGTGGTTTTCCTAACACAGTTGCCGAATATTAATACCGAACACGTAATCCTACGTCAAATCTACGGTCGGGTCTTGGATACAACCTCTTACTTTTTCTAACATTTCATAAGTTGAACATAACCTAAGAAGTTGTTGCATCACTAACACATCTTTCACATTTTTAAATGGATAAGATCACTAAATTTTCCACAACGGATTAATCAGTGATGTATAAACAATTACAAAAGTCCAAATGAATCACCATTATCATTTCGACACTTTGATTATTTTACAGGCATTATTTGAATTGGTTAATCACCAGTAAATCCCGATTAGCAATTTCCCGTTTTCCCCGTCTTTTATTTTTTTTTTTTATATTTTTAAAGACCGTGGATATTGTGCTACTCTGTTTCTGATCAGAACTAGTGGAATTGCATAGAGATCCACATGGATGGCGTTTGAGATTAATTTATATATCTTCAATGTGCAAGTTCACTAATTCAAGCTATTTATAGATCAGCACCAACCACATCCACAGGGATTACGGAAGGGGAAGGATGATTAGTATAACGACCGTTGTTATAGAGATCGTGTTTACCTTTGCGTCTCTATGATTGCCATTGGATGGAAAGTGGTGTTAGTGTGGGGATTATTTTTATTTGGTCATGACACTGAGATAAGTGCTGCGATAAGTAAAGCAGATTAGTTTATTTAAATCAAGTGGAGATAGATAACTAGGCATAGTGACAAATAACAAGAAAAGAGACGGGCCTAGAATTGAACTCCCGACCTTCTGCACAGTAAGCAGAAACGGGAAACACTAAGCTACCGAGCCTCGTCGATTCCCATTTTCCCCCGTATTTTCCCGGTATTTCGGAAATTTTCCCGGTTGTGTGATACACATACAAATTAAGCATACAACCAAACGCGATTGATCCGAAGAGATCATCAGGTTAAATGAGCTATTACTAACACAGCATCATTTTTCCTGTATACTGAATTTGATACTGCGATCGAGTCTTCAAAATTTATCTACGAAAATTCGCTCAAAACTTTACAAGATCTCATTTTATTGTTCTCAAGCAATCCCTTTAGAATTCTTTCTTGTCACAGAATTCTTTTCAGAATTCATCTAGAATAAATTTCAGATTCTCTCTAGGAGTCATTTGCAAATTTATTTATAGCAATACAGTTCTCTGCCGACCACTCCAAAAAATTCATGACATTCGTGCTTAGATTCTCTTCAAATTTTAACTTTTTTCCAAGAATTCACTGAAGGTCCATTCCAATTTTTGATTGAATTTTCCTTATAATTTCCATTTGTCTAAAAAAAAAATATCAGAAATATTTTGGAGTTCTTCTCTAATTCCTTCTGAGAATTCATTTAAAATTCTTCTTAAAATTCCCTACACACTTCTTTTCGGTATGCCTTTGGAATTATCATTGGAATTCCCTTGAAACTCTTCGCAGAATTCCATTGGAATTGTCCCCTTGATTCCCTTGGTATTTTTCACGGATCCTAGAATCTTCTTCACAATCATCATGGAACTTTCAACAGAGCTAATTTTTTCTCGGAACTCACACAATTGCCTTGGGACTTGAGACAATTGAGTACAAGTTCAACTTTTAGAGTTGTCCCCCAAACCCTGAAATTTTCTCTGAAATACCTACAATTCATTCTAAAATCTGCTCCAAATGACTTTGGGCAATAATTCTCTTAATATTTTCTCAAAGTGACTGTATTCTGAAAATGCGTACTTATTTCCTCCTTCATCTTATCTAATCTAATATATAAACGTGAAAAAATGTCCTTAGTTCTTCTTATTTTTATTTTGCTTTTTAACAGAGTGAAACGGTCAATCCAAATGGATGTAGTGTACTTTAGTGCACTTAAGTTTAAAGTAGATGTTCAATACCATTTTGGAATTCCGAATTGGTTACCGGCTTAGAAAAAAAAGACCGGAAATCGATTTCCACCACCAATCTGGATGATGACTGTTGATTTTAGAAAATCTTTTAATTACCCTACAGTATAGATATTATCGGAAATGAGTTCTCGGTTAACAGCTTGGTTATACAGTAGCCATGATA